GTATCAAACATGCCCTAAATAAAGGAATTCAATCATTTGATCAATGACAAAGAAAATCACGTCCAATAAACAAAGGATTGTCTAATAAAGAGGAAGGATTAGAAGGTAAATGTAAGTACAAATAAACATTCTATAGTCTCATATTCATTATCTCGACTTTCCTTTTCTATCTTAATCCTGACCTAACCATAGGAGGGTTTATGCCAAAAAAAACTCTTAATGCATGCCATCTAAAGCTTTTCTCTTGAGTGTACGAAAATAGCTTGTGGAGGTCAAATCGAAAATTATATTCGCACCCTCTATCCTGAAATTCTTGCCCAAGAAGTTATTCTTTTGTGGAAAGTCCTTTTTTTCCTAACAAATACACAAGTTCTTAAATTTCTTTATAACAACTCCCAATTACAATTATATCATCTATGTTAAATGATAAATTTCACATTGAATAAATATAAAAATATAAAACCAATATATAAAGATTTTGACTACGTCTCTTAACAAGATTGACCTTTTAGTGTGCCTCAAAAAGAGTGATTGATTGTGAAATTTGGATAGCATAGCCCCGAGATTGACTTAAATGTAGTTGTTCATGGAACACTCTTTAGAAATACAATAATTTGATGTCAACCAAGAACGAGATAGGGGAGGAAGCGTTGTTTTTTTTTTGGGGGGGCTATTACATAGAAAAAATAATGGAAAAAAAATCGTAAATACCCTATAAGAAAATAATATTTCTTGAAATACTACAAATTAATATATATACCTAATATACTATTTACAATATGAAATAATATTATAAATACTATTTTCCAATAATTACTCCATCGCACGTTTTGTAACTGAAATTTTTAACAAGAGTAGACATGAATTACTCCTGCATTACCATATAACATAATTTATACTTCGGAAAAATTCATTTATCCTACTTTTACTTTACACTATTTCAAAAATAATAAAACAACTCTCACATTTCAAAAATTAGATATTTTTGCCTATACATACACATATATATAAATATTTATTTTTATATATAAATATATAAAAAGATATAAATA